CCACAGAGTGTATATTTAGTGGCCCTAGGCTGACTGATGAGCTATATGCAGCGTTCAACGTGGACTGCCCTGTTACTAGCAAGGCCCCATTCCAGAGCAGTCTGACTGGCAAGTCTCAAGAGAAATCTCACCCTGCTATACTATATCACATGCTATGCAATATCAGTAAGACTGCTCACTACTTGGCTGTCAGATATTACATTTCATAATTTGCAAATCATGTAAACTTTCATTGCATTTGAAAATGTCAATGTAAAAAATGTCAAAACAGCAGCCATACCTGAGAGCATACAGCACTGTGCCATTGGAGAAAAGCCTAACAAGACGATTCTGCACAGTCACGTCATGTAAGAAAGACTTCTTTGAGTCCACAATATATGTATCAGGAACCCAAAGTAGTTGTACTAGTCGAGCATCCAGTGTAATGCTTTTATTGCCTTCGAACTTTAAACGTTCGTCAGTCCACCTCTGCAGTAAAAATATTGTTGCTGTGTAATCCTGTTAAAAAAAAAAATCATAACAAGCTTATATCAACTTGAACAAAATTACCACTTTCTATACTTATATCATTATTATCAAACTTGGCACATGGAATTTGGCACTCAAAAAAAAGGTTGCAACATTTTATCTAAAATAAGAAAAAAGAGAAGAAGAAAAAATACACTGCCAAATAGTTTTCCAATTCACTTGACTGACAGGAATGGCAATTCTCATGTTTACTAATGCCAATTCCATTTGACATTCGGTCGATCTGACTGAATCTATGTCATTAAGTCGAAAGCGTTCGGTGTCAGATTCTAAATCAGTAATTTTCACTTTAATGCTTTTCCCAAAACCAAGTATAGTATTCAGAATACGTACACAGCACCACCAATTTTAAACAAAATAGCAGGATGTACATTCGCAAGTTATCGTTCACTTGCTGTTCAAGCGAACGATAATTTAAAGTACAATATTAATATAATAGTTTGTATTCTGAAAAGAACTTCACAGTCCTATAAGGCTTTGCCCCATTCAGTACGAGACCATTGGGACTTTTATGAATTACCCTGCCAAACTTTGCAAATAATTCTTAGATATTTTTGATATGTAGCAAACAGTATCCCCTGAGTATCCTAGTATATTTTGATATCTAATCTGTATAGTTAGATAACAGATACTGCTTACTAGTGCAGCTAGATCACACGTCATGATAGATAGATTTTGGCCAAATCTGTGAAGTAGTCTTTTCAAGCTAAGTTGGAAAATTTCGGTAAGCTGGTACAGTGTCAAGACCCTCTGGTTATCAAGTTTCTTCAGTATATTGCTTTGTGTGTATATATAAAAAAAAACCTCTCTGTCTCATTAGAGATATCTTTGACAGAAGTTTGAGAAAGCAAGGTGAATGGTTAGTGTAGGACCCATCTAAGAGGTTTGCCTTGACGTGGCAGGTGGGCATTTCCCTCTAATGACCATTGGAGTAACTAAATAACCTTGATTTGTTGAAATATACATAGGGAGTTGGGAAAGAGCACAGGTACATTTTTTTTCTTTGGTTTTTACTGTATTGGGGCTGATGTGTACTATGGTCGTTGCTGCCGCCCAAGAGTAGGGAGAGTTTGAGTGCAGGACTTTTTGGGGGGTTTTTTGTATTCACTTTTGTATCACACAGCTATGTTACAGTATTGCCACTCATCCCATGTGTTCCCTATTAAAGGTTAATAAGCATGTAGGGATGTATATAAAAAATACCCATTTATGTCTCATTAAAGATGTCTTTGCCAGAAGCTCAAGGAAACAAGGTGAAAGGTTAGTGTAGGACCCACCTAAGAGATTTGCCTTGACGTGGCATGTGGGTATTTCCCTCTAATGGCCATTGGAGTAACTAAATAACCTACATTTGTTTAAATATACATAGGGAGTTTGGAAAGAGCACAGGTAACTTTTTTTCTTTGATAAGGATGCTTGTCTGGATTTTGTTATGACAAACAATGTTGATCTTTTGACCAACATTCAAGTAGGGGAGCATTTGGGAAATAGTGATCACAATATGGTATTTTTTTTAAATAAACTCAAAAAAGCAAAAGCACGTGGGGTATACTAAAACATATAATTTAAAAAAAGCAATTTTCAATAAAATTAGGGCAGCTCTACAACATATTGACTGGCATAAACTCCTTAGTGAAAAAAAACACTGAGGATAAATGGAAACTATTCAAACAAATATTAGAAAGGTACATTTCAGAGTATGTACCATTTGGGTAATAAATATAAAATAAACAAATTGAAACTAATGTGGCTAAGTAGAGAAGTAAAACAAGAGATTAAAAATAAGAAAAGGGCATTTAAAGCTTTTAAATCGGACAAATCAGAGGCATCCTGTATAAGATATAAGGAAGCCAATAATGCTTGCAAAAAGGCAATTAAAGTGGCTAAACTAGAAAATGAGAAATTGATAGCCAAAGAATGCAAAACCAACCCCCATTTTTTTTCCAAGTACATCAATTCTAAAAAAACAAAATGAAAGTGTAGGTACACTGGAAACAGAGATGGGTCTCTTAGCTAATGAAGACCAGGAAAAGGCAGAAATTTTAAATAACTATTTTTCTTCAGTATATTTAATGAGGATCCTATGGCAAGATATATTTAAATGATTGCTGCAAAAAATTTGCAAATAACTTGTGATTGGATGACTCGAGACAAGGTGCTACAGCAGTTAAAGAAAATGGATGTAAATAAAGCTCTGGGGCCTGACAGTATTCACCCAAGAGTACTTAAGTGGGGAAATAAGTGAACCTTTGTATTTAATTTTTCAAGATTCTTTTGTTTCAGGTGTTGTACCGGAGGATTGGAGGAATGCAGATGTTGTTCCTATATTTAAAAAGGGTTCAAAATCCTTGCCTGGTACTTATAGACCTGTGAGCTTCTACGAAGAAGTAAGTAGAAGAATAGATCAGGGTGTTGCAGTGGATGTGATCTACTTGGATTTTGCCAAGGCATTTGATACGGTTCCTCACAATAGGTTAGTCTTCAAACTAAAAGGAATTGGTCTAGATGAATATTCTTGTTCTTGGGTAGAACATTGACTTAAGGATAGAGTACAACGAGTTGTAATTAATGGTAAATTTTCAGGCTGGACAAAAGTGGTAAGTGGTGTCCCTCGGGGTTCTTTTTTGGGACCGCTTCTATTTAACATATTTATAAATGATCTTAAAATAGGCATTGAAAGCCATGTATCAGTGTTTGCAGATGATGTTTGCAGATGATGTTTGCAGTGTTTGCAAAACTTTGTAAAGTAATAAAATGTGAGCGGGATATTGCTCTGCCGCAGAGGAATTTGGATAGATTGGGGGACTGGGCACTAAAATGGCAGATGAGATTTAACGTAGAGAAATGCAAAGTTATGCACTTCGGGGTTAAGAATGTACAAGCAACTTACACACTAAATGGTAGTAAACTAGGGATAACCCCACACAAGAAGGACTTGGGAATTGTTATAAACAACAAATTAGGCAGCAATATGTCAATCTGCAGTTGCTAGGGCCAGTAAGGTTTTGTCATGTATAAATAGGGGCATAAATTCTCGGGATGAAAATATAATTTTGCCTCTTTATAAATCGCTGGTATCCCTTGAATATGCTGTGAGATTTTGGGCGCCTGTTCTAAAGAAAGATATCATGCCACTAGAAAAAGTGCAGAGACGAGCTACAAAATTGATAAAAGGAATGGAGCATTTAGTTATGAAGAAAGGTTTAAAAATGTAAATCTCTTTAGTTTGGAAAAACGGTGCCTGAGAGGGGATATGATAACATTATACAAATATATTCGGGGCCAGTACAAACCTTTATCTGGAAATATATTCATAAACAGGGCTATACAAAGGACACAAGGTCACACATTTAGGTTGGAAGAAAGGAGATTTCATCTAAGGCAAAGAAAAGGTTTTTTTTTACAGGAAATCTCTGCCTGAAGAGGTGGTTTTATCAGAGTCCATACAGATGTTTAAACTGCAATTGGATAAATACTTGCAAAAACATAACATACAGGGATATAATTTCTAATTAGTGGGGTAATAGCTGCTTGATCCAAGGAGATACCTGACTGCTATTTTAGGGTTAAGAAGGAATTGTTTCCTAGTTTGTTGCAAAACTGGAAGTGCTTCAGACTAGGTTTTTTTGCCTTCTTTTGGATCAACAGCAAAAACATATGTGAGGAAGTCTGAACTCAATGGACGCAAGTCTCTTTTCAGCTATGTAACTATGTAACTATGTAATAATATTGTTACAGTGACATCGGTTACAGGGCGGGTTATATTAGGCAGCAAGCAAACAGTCAGTTCTTGAATTTCATGTGTTGGAAAAATTGGTAAGCAAAAAGATCTAAGTGACTTTGACAAGGGCCACATAGTGATGGATAGATAAATGGGTCAGAGTATCTTAAAAAAAACATGTTTTGTGTGGTGTTCCCAGTATGCACTGCTTAGTACCTACCAAAAGTGGTGCAAAGAAAAACAACCGGTGAGTTGGTGTCAGGGTCATGGGTGCACAAGACTCATTGATGCAATCGGGGAATGAAAGTTAGCCCATTTGGTCCAATCACACAGAAGAGCTACTGTAGCTCAAATTGCTGAAAAACATTATGCTGGCCATGATAGAATGGTGTCAGAACACACGGTGCATTGCAGAGTGCCCATGAAGACCCTGTCCACCAGCATAAGCACCTTCAATTAAAGTATCAGAACTGGACCTTAAAGTAATAGAAGAAGTTTTCCAAATGTAATTGGTTGTCCAAAAATGCTGGAATAATATCTGCACACAGGACTAAATACCTGGTTTTCTATGGTGTCCTCAATCCTGTGCTGTATTGAATGTGGTGGTTCAACCACACAAATGAACACACAAAATAGACAGATAACAGCAACCAGATTTCAAAGTAAAAAGTAAATTTTCTTTGTTCTCCCATGTATGGGTATTAAAATCCATTCAGCAACATGCGGCATGCAAATTAATAAAGTGACAAATAACAGCAGTTTATGTGTTTCCTTTTTTTGCTAAAGTACAATGGTACAAAACATGTAAATTGCTTTTACATGCCTTGACACATAAGAGTTGGTGTATCAGCAAAAGAGGGACCTACACAATATTAAACAAGTGGTTTTAATGTTATGGTTTTTCAGTGTATGTGACATTGATGTCACATTTTTGCCTGACATATATCAGTTTGAAACTAAGCATGTGAATTGAAATCCAAGGAGCACTGATGTATTTTTTTGAAAACGGTCTACTAAAATAGCAAAATATTATCAAATTCTTACCATGTTTTCCTCTGAAACAGCATTAATGCTTGCCACTTCAAGAGTTACTGCAACCTCAACAGGTAATCCTAAAAAAAATAAAAAAAAAATAAAAAATGAACAGATATGTGTTGCTGTTTGTCACAAGCACTATGGACAAAATTTACGACAGTGTTACATATTAAAAAGTGGTGCAACACTGCAAAAGAAGAGGTGTTTTCAATGAAATTACCTGCTGGTTCAACTTGTTTCCATGGCCCTACTTTGATAAATCTCCCACAATATTACAAATATGCAAATAAGTAACAAGTGCATTCTGTAGTATGTTGCTATATAATATTCAATTATAAAATTACTTTGGTGAATGTTTTTTTTTCCACATAAAATATTACCAACATAGATATTATTAGGCATTCTACATATTTTTCTTATTTATTTTTTGCAGACAACATTAAAAAACATGTTAAAAGTCTGGCTTTTTTTCAAATCTACATTTTATTCCATTGTTTTTAACCCACGTTTTTAAACAAAATAATTAGTATAAGATTTTAGGTGAATAGAATGAGATATATGCTACTTAGACAAATTGCAGGGTGAACATCATTAAAAACAGTTTATACTGTTGATGTTTCAGGGATAGACCCTTCCTTCATTTGTCTGCGGAACAGTGTCTGGGTAAGCTTGTAGCAATGTTGTATTGCTAGATTAACGTTTGCTTGCGTGAACTTGAATTTTCAGGCACTAGAAGTGTCTTTATCAACATTTGCAGTTACTTTTAATTTTTTGATATTGTTGAAATATGTTGTAAAGTTGGATTTAGAATGATATTAAATGAGCAGTTTAGGCACTATAACCACTACACTACACAGTAATGGTTATGGTCCCTTAAAGCTAAGAGTCAAACTGTTAAGATTGGCGAAGCAACAATTCGAATGATTCTTGATTGTAAGACCTTTTTAGTATTTGGTGTTTTTATAGTCATAGGAAAATGAAATTACAAGTTTTTTTGAATTCTATGGTTTTACATATCAGGACCTTGTGGTGAATCAGACTGTGCATTGCTCAGAGAAATGCAACAACAAAAAACAAGAGCTACCTCTAAGAGTCTACAGGCCTCAGTCAATATGTTTAATGTTAAAGTTCATGACAGTACACTTAGAAAAAGACTGAACAAGTATGGTTTGTGTGGCAGGGCTTCCAGTATACAGAAAGCATCTTCTCTCTAAAAAGAACAAGACAGCAAAGTTGCATTTGAACAAATCACAAGACTTCTGGAACAATGTCAGACGAGACCAAAGTGGAGATGTGCTCATAATGCACATCACCTCGTTTAACGAAAAACCAAATACAGCATATCAGCACAGACACCTCATACCACACGTCAAGCTCATAATGCACATCACCTCGTTTAACGAAAAACCAAATACAGCATATCAGCACAGACACCTCATACCACACGTCAAGCTTGTGGTGGGGTGATGATTTGGGATTGTTTTGCAGCCACAGGATCAGGGAACATTGCAGTCATTGATTGAAACGTGAACACCTCTGTATACCAAAGTATTCTAGAGTCAAATGTGAGGCCATCTGTCTGACAGCTAAAGCTTGGTTGAAATTGGCACATTCAACAGGTGTAAAAAATGTAGATGAATGGATGTTAATGTAGACTCTTTCTTAATTTCTTCTTGTCTTCAGTTGATTGATATATATACGTCTTTTGTATATATATTCTTGGGCCAAATGCTCGCCACAATAATATATGTCTATATTATTGAAAAGTAGTAATACGCAATCTGACTTACGGTTTCTTCAGGTTTATTCTTAGTTACGGATACATAAAACAACTTATGATGTTACAGGATAATGGACATTCAACAGCAGATGGTAATTGCTGGACTTCTGATGGGAGAGTTACATCGTTGTACAGAGCCAAGCCAAGAGTGAGACCGACCTCGTGTCCCTCTGTTACTATATAGATGTGCTAATACTAACGTCAGCATATAACTCTAGCCATATAAGGACAAGACCCCCGAATCCACATTCCAGAGCTCTCGGACAAAGAAAGCCTTGTGACTTATTGATACCATCTGTTACTTATGTCAATCCACACATCCATATATATAATCAATAGAAACATAGAATATGCAATATTCTACATTCCCTCTGTTTATGGTTTGTTTTAAAACCATAACACAATGTCACTAACCTGTCCATTCATACATCACTTGTATCACATTCATTGAGCATAGAACAAGATGAAGTCACAACTTTCTATTATAGAGAGTTCTTAGAAGGTCGAGTTTCTATCCCTCATACTGCTTACTTTACTTCAAAACTCCCTCTGTTTCAGCTATGTATTGATATCCATATCCATGTTACATCATAACTACTTGAACATAATATGTACATATATATAACAATAATAAATGAATACAATATTTACAAATGTTGATCCAATAAACAATAAAGCAATCAGAAAGATTAACCTGCTCTGGTACAGTCGTATCTTTGTAGATAACAAAATCAAGATCGTAACTTTCTAAATAATAATAACTGTGTATCACTATCATATTCCTACAGATACATATAGCATAGTATTTTCATTCTCAATACCTGATATTACTTAAGTACTAATACATGTATTACTATAATATCCTGTCCAATTATATTTCCATGAATCATATGTTTTCTAGTAACTTAAAATGTTTAGGTCATTTGTATTCACGAATTACCTTCCTATACCATTAATACCACCTAGTGATGATTGTATCAGTACTTTACAATCATAGTATTTAATTTGTATATTCAGTAGGCTCTCACTAACTGAAATATACCAACACTACTTATAAGTCTCATTCAAAGGATGTGTTATCAACCATGAAGTTCTATAATAATTCTTCAAATAATGTTCATGGTGTTGTCAATACTTATTGTTCTAGAAATTCTCAACCCAGAAATCTTTCTATCATAGATTTGTTTTTGTTTACAGAATTATAATTTTCACTAAAATTCCACCTTGTAGTAACAAATTTTACATTCAGTCGGAGAAAGGTTTACTTTAAAAGAACTTGGAAAGAATAATATAAATCCATTATCATCACTCTCTTCATTAGCATTGTGATGACTTATTAATGTAATATATCTTAAAAGCAGGATTGTCCTAATGTTCTGATCAATCCGTATTCCTTAGTACCCTTCAACTGACTAAACAAAAATAAAATAAACTTGGGGTCATACTGCCCAGAAACTCTTATTCCTAGTCCGTGTCTAACAAACTCAGGCTAATCATAAAACAACTTAACAACGTATTCATTGGATACCGTCATATCCAGAAACCTATTCTCCCTAGTCCATACCTTTTATAGACTTAGGTCAAATATAATTGTGTACTATACTCTTTCCATTCAATTCAATTCCTCTTGGATCTCTGAACTCTTATATCCAAGGCCTTCTTAATGTATACTATTACTTAATATTAATCAATATAAATTATTCTTCCTTAGTTTTCTTCCTTTTATTACCATTGTTTGTTTTACTTCAACTATATAAACAAATTACTCATTATAGTTAATCTATGAAATACTATTGAACTCAATCTTTGTGGTATTAAGTAACCATGATCCTTATTTTATCAACTTCATATTTTATCTACCTCTGATACTTCTCATTCTATGTATAGGTAATAATGTAATAGTTCTCTTCATAATACTATCCTATCATAATTTTACTCCATGTGTTATATAGCTATAAGTAGTCTCTTTTGGTATTAATACTCATAACTGTTAAATAACTTTTCATTGTCTGTTTTCTTCTTCATTAATATTTAGGAATATATATGTATGTTAGTGTCAATATTTTATTTCTTTGTAAGTCTGTTAATCTTCTGTATCGAATGAACTCTGTAGAATCTTCCATCACAGTTTGCAGATCAGATGAAAAGTCTCTTTCCAACAGTCGATGTCCAGTTGTCTGAAGGAATGCTTTCCTGATTAATTGCCACAAGGATCTGTCACGCTTTAACTACATTAAAACAAAAACCATGTGCAGCATCAATACAATGGCTTACAATGTTTATATCTCATTATTATTATACAGTTTAACATTGAATTACATGGACTACACAACATTCTCATTTCTTCTCATGAGATCTACCATCTAGTGGTCATTACATTTATGTCATGTGATGTATAATCTTTAAATTTCCTTTATATCAAAATATCGTTTCTACACATTTTAATTTTTCAATTTTTGTATTAATCACACCTTATTAATCATACCCCCCTTTAAACTGTTTAATAATCTGGAGGTATAACCTAATCACATATCAGATGTTACAACAAAATATTGTTTTCCACTATACTTTAGCAATAGTAGCCATCTTGTCCTAACACTGGCACCATTTTGTCACATGAAACAAACTACAAAAAACATATATTGTTTCCTACATCAAATGTATCTGCAAATCTAGGTTTTATTCTATCAAAACTTTTGTCTTCTATGTAGTCAAAACATATGTATGTCCAGGCTTTGCAAAATATAGTAATCCATTATCAGTCATGACATTAAAATCTCATTCTCATGAATTAAATCAAAGATTTTAAATCAACCTCAGAAGCAACAAGGAATATATCCATTGTTTTTTCTTCTGTAAAATGATTGGAGTTACTGTATAATCGCATACACCCAATATAACATACATTGCATGTTCCTAACTGCTACATTAGTGTATTTCATTCTGCAATATTTGCAATCTTGATGTAAATTTTTATTTTAATTAATTAACCTAATACTTTCTTATAACACACATAAAACAATGAAAAAACAGTTCAGACTAACAATTCATTAAAACAACAAACTAACATAGATCTCTATTATTGTGCTGTTTTTAATTCTGGAATCAGCCTGTGTACATCTGTTGGCACACATGTCCATGCTCATTCCCTAAACTGATCATATCTCTTGAAGTTATCTGATTCTTATAACTTTCTGTGTTACACTGCATTGCTTGTCTGTCTCCTAATTTCGATTTAGCTAAAATTGCTTTTATTTGTCTGATTATAAGTTTACAAGGAAAGGCCTTTATTGATTTATCTCCACGTGTATTTTCTCTGTCAAAATTTTCAATCAACAAATTTAATTTCTCATTTGCTTTTGATTTGATATCTCGGATAAAATATCTGCAAGATCTTAAATAATGTTGTTTATTGCACCAAAAACAAATAACTTTAGGAGTTATATTCTGCCCTATATTATCAACTCTACAGTTTTTAGTTGAATAAATTGGGAGGGGCTCAGCTGTCTGTATCACTCTACACTCTGTCCTAGAAGAAGAAGAAGGAGGGCTGTAAAATCTGCTCTTCTTTCTCTGCCTAAATCCACAATTCGTTTTAACCCCTTCATTCTTGGTTTCCCTCCTTAAGTTATTCAAGAACAAAGCTACTTCTGTCAAAGTGCTTTTTTCTCTAGCTAACACAATTGCAGTTGGATCTAAATCTTGAAATTTTTTCACAAATTCATTAATTAACTGATCTTCAGAAAAATCAGCAACAAGTCTATATGCACTTTCAAATTTTACAAGAAAACTAAATATATCCTCCCCTTTGTGTGGTTTTAGTTTTTCCAACATTTCAGTGTCTGCAAAATCATTCCCTGTTGTTAATTTTATTAATTGTGTTAATCTGTCTTGCTTATTTCCATATATTATTTTATCATTGTCCTGAAATTTTACAAGCGTGGTCAGCCTACATGCCATTTGAGTCGGCAGCCATGTTTTAAATAGTCTATTCCTTTGTTCGTCATTTAGGCTGTATTTGTCCACATTTGGCTCAAACATTTCAGCATTAGTAAATGTATCCACTGACGTGTCATAAACTGGAATACATTTCACAATTTTCATTAATTGTTCATGTATTTTCAAATTAAGTTTTGCAGCTCTGTCTTGAAATTTACATTTCTGCAAATCACTCAGTGAGGATACATTTTCAGTATCTATTGGTTCTGGGATTAGATTCAGTGCCTTTGTTTTTCTTGTATTAACACACACTAGTTTAACTTCTTTTCTAAACTGGCAAATAAGATCATTTCTTAGTTCAACTCTATCCTCTAATTCACAGACTTGTTCTGACAATGTTCTCTCTGTTACATTGTTACACTGTTCATTTAAATCTGATTTGTCTTCTGTTAACCCATTCAAATCTACTTCTTTTTCTGCTAATTCTAAATTGTCTTGACCTGCATCTCGTTTACAAATCAATGCATTGTAAGTACAGACTAGTTTCATAACATTTCTGATCTTTTGTTTTTTCTTATTAACAAACAATTTCTTGTCAATTTCACTATTGGCAATTTCACATTGTGTGTATAAAGATCGCCACAATACAGCATCTGAATAGCTGCTATTAAATGCAAACTGCAATTTACTTTTCTCTGCATTATCATTTATGAATTCCATGTTACTCACCAGATCAGTTATCTCTGTCTATTTCGTTGCTTCATCCACACAGCTGCGCAGTTCTGGACGCTTGATTCTGGAAATTTGCCAATCTCTGCCACGTGCTTGCTTCTAGAATTCACATTGTATCTTGTGCTTTTTGTCTCAGTTGTAGATAATAGTCTTGTACAGTCTTTGTGATTTGAAAATCTTTTTCATACAAACCACAGTTCTTCTGTGACAGTCAGTCTAGATTCTTTTTTTTTTCTCTTCAAGTTTGTTTTCCCAGTTCCAAAATAGCTTTGTAACTCGATTCTTCTCTCTCCCCCCTTGAAGTGGGAACAAAACTTGAATAGAAGACTGGCAGGCTAGCCAATGTAAAAAATGTAGATGAATGGATGTTAATGTAGACTCTTTCTTAATTTCTTCTTGTCTTCAGTTGATTGATATATATACGTCTTTTGTATATATATTCTTGGGCCAAATGCTCACCACAATAATATATGTCTATATTATTGAAAAGTAGTAATACGTAATCTGACTTACGGTTTCTTCAGGTTTATTCTTAGTTACGGATACATAAAACAACTTATGATGTTACAGGATAATGGACATTCAACAGCAGATGGTAATTGCTGGACTTCTGATGGGAGAGTTACATCGTTGTACAGAGCCAAGCCAAGATCATCAAGATCAATCATGTAATTTAATACAGCAATTTGTAGATAAAGGTTATGATCCAATTTCGATTAAAAATATTAGAGATGAAATAGGAGGAAGAGATAGGAATCTACTTCTGGAATATAAATATAAAGAGAGGAAAAAGGAAGAACAGATCCCTCTGATCCTCAATTTTAGTACTAATAATAGATCTTTATGTAATGTTTTTAAAAAGAACTGGCATGTGTTAAAGGAGGATAAAGACCTTTTACCCTATTTAGGAGACAGACCCCAATTTATTTTTAGAGGAGCCAGAAATTTTAGACAAATTTTAACTAATAGTTTTTTAGAAAAAGAAAAAAAGGATATGCATAATTTTTTAGGTGGACAAGTAGGTTTTTATTATTGTGGTGATTTCACTGGATGTAGATTAAATAAGACTATAAGGAAGAATATTAAGACGTTTTCTTCAAATAAAAATCCAGTAGATGAATATAAAATACACTCATTAATTACGTGCAATACAACCAATGTTATATACCTTTTAACTTGTCCATGTGGTTATCATTATGTGGGTAAAACGATAAGAAAATTGAAAGTTAGAATAGGAGAACACATTAATAATATTAAGAAAAAATTTATTAACCATAGTGTTTCAAAGCATTTTCTAGATTATCATAATGGTAACCCAGAGGGCCTTCAATTTATAGGCATAGAAAAAAATTAAAGTTCACTGGAGAGGGGGTTGTAAAGATAATATTCTAAGTAGAGCAGAAATGAGGTGGATGTTTAACCTCAATACCCTGACTCCTGAAGGTCTTAATGTAGATTTTGAAATTACTTCTTTCTTATAATATGTATTTTAATATGTATTTTAATTTTATAATATGTATTTTAATATGTATTTTAATTAATTATACTTTCTTTCCTTTTTTTTTTTTTCCCTTCCTTCTCCTCATGTATACCCTTGTATCCTTAATGAGTTTTATTTTATTTCCTTAAGAGATATTTTATTATGATTTTTAATAGTATTAATAAGATATGGATATAAATTGATAGAGTGATTATTTTCATTATATATTTAATGGACATGTGCATGGACATATATATTAAAGACATTTGGGGAAAATATACTGATTTTATTAGGATCGGGACTTTATTGAAACGTAAGGGAGATATGATCTCTGCCCGAAAGTATCCCGTGATATGTCACGTGACCGGAAGCCGGAAACAAAGCTGGGACCGAAGACGTATTGGAACGCAAGGGAGATACGTCCGCTGACCCGGAAGTGTCCTATGATACGCAACGTGACCGGAAGTTGGAGGTTAGACAGCCGGAAACCGGAAGTGAACCGGAGAAGAAATCACAGCGCGCCTTTTTCTGAACATATTTAAATGCTAAATTTGTGTGATATTGTTAGCACTTTGATAAAGACCGTTATGGTTGAAACGCGTTAGTGCAATAATTTGAGAGATTCCATTTTTTATGCTATTGTTGGCGAATAAAGTTTGTTCCTGTATTTCCTGACTTGATCTTCTATCCAAAAACAAAAGGGAATTTTCACAGTGATCAGCTTAACCTGCCTTTTCAGCATCGTGGTCTCCAAAAATTTTATAAGGCGCTTATAGTCTGAGCCACTGAACGGCTCAGCACCACGTGAGTGGGCAATTTTACATTTAATTTATTTTTTGTATATCTTATACAGGCTATACTATGTTCCTTATTTTCTATTTTTAGGACATTCCAGCCATATGGTAATATTGCCTGCTTTTCATATCTGTTTTATATTTGGTGTATAGAGATTGCTCTCACTATATTATTTATATTTTATTATATGTTTTTTGTGTGATTTGGAGTGATTCACACTTGGTGATTTGTGCACCTTTACCAATCTTTCCTTTCCAATATTGTGTTTTATGTGGGAGAAATATGGGTCTGATTATTCATTTTTATTTTTGTTATTCTGTTTGAGACCCTTTTATCTTTAAGCTTCTTGGTTAGAAGTTTGTCTGCTCTATTCCCTGTACTATATTTTTTCAACCTACGGTTTCCCAAAATTTTTGCATTCTTTTCTATATTAATTTGATTAATTTGATCTTTGATCATCTTAATCGCTTTTAGGTTATCTCTAGAGGGATTCGTCTTGTTCTTTTTCACTTTTTCAGCTAAATTATTATAAAGAGAGATTAAGTCCAGACTTTTGTTCCTATTAGAGTGCGCTTCTAAGCTTATTAGATTATCTCTCATGGTAACTTTAAAGGAACACCAATTGTTAGGGTATGAGGTTTCGTTGGGCATATTAATTTCAAAATAGCATACAATCTGGGATCTAAGAGAATCTAGAATTGTTTTGTTATGGAGTAAGTAGTCTTTTAGTCTCCATGTAGCTTTCTTTATAGTATTCCACTGGTCTTTCATAGTCCAGATGTTAATGCTATGGTCCGACCAGGTATTGTCCCTGATTTCGATCTTCTCTACCTTTTCTAAAGCTGTTGCATTGCCCCACACCATGTCAATGTGCGAGTATGAATAGTGTACTCTAGAGAAGAAAGTATAGTCCTGTCTCTCCGGGTAGGAGGATCTCCATTGGTCAAAAAAATCAAATTCATTCAATAACCTGCTAAGAGATTTAGCCATTTTTACTACAGAACTATTGGCTTTTAAATTATGACAAAACTTCTTATCCAAGATTGGATCCAAAACGCAGTTAATATCTCCTGCTATTATACACACTCCAGTTTTTATAAGTTCAACTTGTTCTAGTATGTCTCTAAGAGTAATCACTGGGCGGGTGTTAGGCAGGTATATATTAACCAATTTATATTTAATTTCATTTAGTTTACAAACAATAATTAAAAATCTAGCTTCGGTATCTGCAAATTGATATATTAATTCAAATTTCATGGAACTTGCCACAATAATAGCCACCCCTCTTTTCTTCTTATCATTAAGAGAAGCATGGAATACATTTGGGAATTTAGCCCCTCCCCATTTTATGTTGTCTATCAACCTCCAATGAGTCTCTTGTAAGAACTCGACCTCTACATTTTGATTCTTAAAAAAGTCATACACCAGAGTTTTTTTTGTTTGAGAGTTTAGGCCCTGAGTGTTTACTGATACCATTTTAACCATATTCCTTAAAGAAATATCCCGGTGCTCCCATCGGCATGCACAAATACTTCACAACATTAACATTTACACTACAGTCATACTCTTCTATTCTGGTTGTAAGCCAGAAAATACAGGATGGCCTCTCACCTAACAAGTTAACCTTGAAGGTTAGAGCCATTCTCTCGACAGTTGGTTTGAAACAAACCCTCCTAACGGCAAATGGGTCTCAACCGGGACACATGGCCGGGGTCAAGAACCTTGCCCAGGGGGATAGGCCTTCATCATTTCTTCTCTTCCTTTATTCTCTCTGATACCCTTTATATTTATCATTAAGAGAGAGAGAAGGACAGAAGAGAGAGAGAGGAGAACTGAGAGAAAAAAAAATGAATTATGTAAATACTCTGTCCCTTGATATTCTGTTTACTACGGTACTCTACCGATATACCCCCCCTGTATGTATTGGGTGCTGAACTAGCTTGGGGCGAGCTAATCTAGTGCTGTCTTTTTAAATAATATTGTGTTTAAAAACACTTGTGAAAATCCTTCATTAGTGCCTATATAACCTTATTAATGTACTTATTTTTTTCTAGTGCTTATTCCATGGGATACGCTAAAAAAAAAAGAAAAAAGAAAAAAAGAAAAAATATATTAGCCCCTATTTTTTACTTTATTAGTGAATTATATTAATGGAATCCTTTAAACCATTGTTGTACTTATAAACTACTATGAAAGTCCTAACTTTAAGCTTTCTATCGTGAATTAGTCTTTTTTAATACCTCTGTGTTACTTATATATTTGTAATCCTTAATTATATGTGATCATATATTCCCTCCCCTCCTTTTTTTCCTTCCTCTCCTTTTCACTTATCCTTTCTGTTGTCTGTAAATAGTGTTGAAATAGCCATGTGAATTTCTGATATTATTTATATCTTTCCCTTTTTCTCTTCCCTTTTTCTCTTTTCTTTCCCCTTTCCTATTTTTATTAACTATATTATTAAAAAAAAAATTTTTTTTACATGAATCTTCGTGATCTGTATTAGAGAAAAAAATATATATATTTCTCCCAAGACATTAATAATTTATCATAACATTTTACAATTGTAGAGAATTTTGCCACTTGGCAACATTTTACCACTTAGAAAGAAGAGAGAAAAGAAAAAAAAAAGGAGTCCTCCCTTAAGCCGGACACTTTTCCAGACCCCTTCATGAATTGTCTGTAGGGTTTCCGGTTATATTTGATTTATCCATCCAACTCTTCAGAGCTTCTTTAGAGGCAAAATTAACCATTCTTCCATTCCAAGACACTCTTAATGATAAAGGGAAACCCCATCTATAGCTTATGTCCTTCCGTCTCAAGATAGGTAGCAAGTCTTGAAAGCTTTTGCGCCACATTCTTGTTGAGTATGATAGATCTTGGAATATAGACAAATTCTTGAATTCTTCTTCCAGTATAGGGTTGTTCCTCATCGCTGCCATCACTCTCTCTTTTGTTTGATATGAATGAAATTTAACCATTACGTCTCTTGTATATGTCTCCAGAGCATTCTGGGGTCTGGGTAGTCGATGTCTGCGATCCATTAAATAGTCGTGTGGAGCTCCATCCAGAATTAAATTTTGTAAGAATTTCAGAAGGAAGCTCTCCAGATTTTCGTTAGAAATTTTCTCTGGAATATGTCGAATTCTGATGTTTGCTCTTCTAGATCTGTTTTCAGTGTCGCAAACTTTAGCATCCAGTGCTCCTATTTTGTTTTTCAATTCAGTTAACCCTTCTTGGCAAAGCTTATATTTGTTGTCTAATTTGATAAAGTTGTCCTCCATAGTAGCTAGTTTAAGTTGTATCATTTTGAATTCTTGTTTTAATTCTTTCGTGTTTGCGGCCATGTCTTGACTAGTACCTAGAAAATTTCTCCAGGTTTTTAGTAAGAATGTCTTCTGTCATGGGAATGGCCGTTTGTACCTCTTTAATTAAGCTGTAATTTATTTCCGGGTTTTCATCTGTGTTTTCTTGGGTAATTTGTGTCTTATGTTGGGATGGAGAAAAGTATCCTGATAATCTTTTATCTGATGGTAACTGTTTTCTATCTTTTTTCCTCTGGCCTTCCTGGGCTTTTTTAGATGCCATAGCGGCTTACCTCTTCGTTTTCTCTCCTCTCTCCTCACTCTTCCTCCCCTCTGTACTCCTCAGTACTCCTCTCTTGTTTTTTTCTCTTTTTACTTTTTTCCCAATTGGGAATCAAGACAAAGGGATCAGGAATCAACCAGGGATTAAGGAAGAAGGGGGAGAGAGGCAAGGAAGCACCACAGTGCCAAAAAATAAAAAGCAAGAAACACTGCTCAGGAACAAAATCACACCTTGTTCACCTTATTCACAAACTCACACCTTGTTTTATGTTGTATATAATATACAATTGTAGGAATTGCCCAAGTGATTACATCCTTGTCTGCCCCTTTAAGAGATTGTTCAGTATGTTGCTCTCTAGGCTCTCTCTGGGCTCTCTCTTTGTCCTCGTCTCTCCACTTTCACCTTCCCCTCTCTCTTCCCTCCCTCTCTCTCAGCTCTTTATTCCTTTTAACTCTCCAGCTCCTCCTTACCCCCGTTTCAGTTTTCCTTTATTATATGCTCCTTCTCTTTCCAATTGTACCTTTACCACTGTGCAGTTAGTTGAACCCACACCCCCGACAGTGACAGTCTCCTTGGCGCCGGAGACTTCCTACTTGCTGTGTCGTAGCGGGTAGGTAAACTGGTGCTTCTTCTTGAGCCACTCGTTTGTTGCCTTGGCTGTGTGTTTTGGGTCATTGTCATGCTGGAATACCCATCCTAGACCCATTTCAATGCTCTGGCTGAGGGAAAGAGGTTCTCACCCAAGATTTGACGGTACATGGCCATGTCCATCATCCCTTTGATGCTGTGTAGTTGTCCTGTCCCCTTAGCAGAAAAACACACCAAAAACACACCCAAAGTATAATGTTTCCACCTCCATGATTGATGGTGGGGATGGTCATAGTCAGCATTCCTGCTCCTCTAAACATGACGAGTTGATACCAAAGAGCTTGATTTTGGTCTCATCTGACCACGACACTTTCACCCATTTCTCCTATGAATGATTCCGATGTTCATTGGCAAACTTCAGACCAGCCTGTACATGTGCTTTCTTGAGCAAGGGGGACCTTGTGGGCGCTGCAGGATTTCAGTCCTTCACGGCGTAGTGTGTTACCAATTGTTTTCTTGGTGATTATGAAATCATTAACAAGATCCTCCCATGTAGTTCTGGGCTGATTACTCACCTTTCTCATGATCATTAAAATTCCACAAGGTCAGATCTTGCATGGAACTCCAGACCGAGGGAGACTGACAGTTTTTTTGTGTTTCTTCCATTTGAGAATAATCGCACCAACTGTTAACACCTTCTCACCAAGCTGCTTGGCGATGATCTTGTAGCCTATTCACACCTTTTATACAGGTAACAAGCTGAGATTAGGAGCACTCCCTTTAAGAATAAAAAGTATAAAAGACACCTGGGAGCCAGAAAACTTGGTAATTGATAGGGGATCAAATATTTATTTCACTCATTGACATGCAAATCAATGTATAACTTTTTTGACATGCGTTTTTCTGGATTTTTTTGTTTTGTTATTCTGTCTCTCACTGTTAAAATACATCTACCATCAAAATTATAGACTGATAATTTCTTTGTCAGTGTGCAAACGTTCAAAATCAGCAGGGGGATCAAATACTGTTTTACCTCACTGTATGCAGAGTGATTTAACTCATAAGTAAACAAAAACAAAACTAGTCCAAAAAAAGTCTAAACGGGTACATGAGGTCTCTCACTAAAACTAAATAATGGCCTCATGTACCCTTTTGGGCATATAAGACTAGTTTAGTTTTTGTAAACTGTTTTTGTTAACATTTGTAGGTTACCCTCACTAGTGGTCATTTCAACATGCCATCTAGTTCCCTTGGGGAACTTTGGTATAACTTAACTCCTAAATAACAGAGAACTGAGCAGCGAGTCTGCTGCAGTATACTATTTACACCAAAACTACTTCAGTAAGAAAAAGTTGGCATTATATATTGACTTTGGATATATTACCCAACTAGTTATGAAAACAATACACTAGACATGTGCAAATTATTTTGGAATTAATCAAATTTCGTCCAAATTCTGCAATTTAGAAGTGTCCAAATTTCCAATCAACAGAAAATGAAAAGAACATGAATGGATCCATAACGAATCAAAATGAATAATTTCAGATCCATTAGTTCTGGTAAGGATAGAAAATTAGGAAGTTATGTACTAAACAGCTGAAAGATCAAAATTAGGAAAAGAGCTTTTCAGCAGTTGAGCAGATGAATCTGTAAATTGGTACTTTGTAACTTTGTGACCGCTACCTTTATTCATTCCCCATAACAATTAATAGCCATCCAAATTTCAATAATTAACATTTTCGTCCGAATTTCAATTAGTCCGATTTGATATTTTCCAAATTTCGGAGGAACCAAAATTTGAAGATGAACAAATTGAA